GTTTATAGGTGTATTCTTCATTGCATCTCAACACAGGCATGGGACCCATTTGTAGGAAACCAATGAGGGATACAGATTAAATTGACCTGTATATACTTGCAATTTCAGAATGTCAAATGAATGAATATGGTTACATCAATCTTAATAGCTAGCATATGCCCATTTTTCAAAAACATTTGGTTTGCTGCTTTTTATTTGTTTACATGTGACTTGCTATAACTCAGCTAGGATTTTCAAAGTTGGCAGAAATTAGGTGCCCGTTGGCCTTTAGGGCTTCCTGTGGAAATAAGGTATTTGAAGAATGAATTCCAATAGAAGGTGTGAGCTTAAGTCCAGCTTCATTCCACCTGGCTTTAAACAGTCAGTGGAGACTGAGCAAATTACATTCCGAATTAGTGAACTTAGAACTTCCAAACCAACTGAAGAAGCACAGTTTGGGGAGCCCACCTCTCCTATCTACTGAGAGAGTCAATGTGGAGATTAGATTCACAGGAGGGCAACTCAGATTGTGAACTGTATCCTAGGTCAGGTTACAAAATACAGAATGGCAAACTATCAAGCATATGCAGAAACATTTCTGGCAAATATTATATGCAGGATTGAACTTGATATATAGCTAATGACTACAAGTTCACAGAAATGGTTTCTTCAGCCTTTAGAATCATTTTGTATAGAAATATTATATCCAAGACAGTAAAAGCAAAAGAAAATTAAACAAAAATTTAATTTCATCAAGACATTAAGTAATCGAAATTCTTAGGCAGGGATTCCCAAAATTACTGTGGTGACTTATTACCATTACTGACACCAGCGGTGGCAACAAAAGTTTCTGGCTCACTGTAGAGGATACACATACCGCTGTTTGGAAATCCTGAGTACAGATTTCCTTGCATAGACTTCAAGTGCAAGCTTTGAAATGCATAAATATTTACATAATTGAACTATATGATTGAAATAATTAGGAATTTGACAGTTCCACTCTTAAAAATGTTGTCTGACTCTCTTGCCCTTGAGTTCCTAGAAATGGAATTACTGAACATTTTCCATTCCTGTTTATGCTTTGTGCCCAGTGCTTCACAAGATCAGGCACAAAGCTTCCAGATGAAAGTAACAATTCACCATGACCATTTCCAGAACTAAACCATTAATTACTTGAATAAAACGTGTTTTTCTTTAGATAGTATTAAATTCCACTAAAATTGTAGCCATTTGTTTACCCATTTTTTGCACTTGCAATAACTGAATTTTCTTATACTAAATGTATAACAACTTCTCATATAAAAATATCCTCCTTAACATCTACCACTATAAACATGCCTAACTAAATATCAGTAAGCATCACAAACTCCTATCCTTATTAAAATTGAACTAAGGGTTACCTGCATAGGCAGGTAGATGACCTGCAGAAACTGGACTGAAAAATTTATGCAGACTTTGGCCTTAAAATAAAATGTACCTGACAAATTCTTGTAAGTTGTAAGATTAGATCTAAGCGTGAACTTTATCTCCAAATCTTATAGTGTTTCTATACTCTATATGGAAGTAAAAATTATTTTGTATTTTATTTTGGAAAGGGCCGGAAACTTTATTTTTGAGCAAGAAAAAACTACTCATTCTAGAGTACGTAAAACTTTAAAAGTTACAGAAAAGGCATAAATTTTAGCTAAGGTTGTATCATTTTCTACCGAAGTGTGCAGAAAACCATAGAAGCTAACAGCAAAAACTCTGGTACTCTGAAGCTGTTGTAAACACCAGAATAGAGGAAACAGAGTAACAAAAGGAATGTAGGGATTTTATCTCCTTTTTAGGACTGCAAAATCCTCTGCAGTTTTATCTGTACTCTGCGGGTTTGTGATATTTCTGAAACTCTGGCTCTTACTTCTTCCACTTAAGGAGAAAGCGAGGAAGGGAATTATTTTCAGTTGAGGCTGGGCTTGACCACTGATTCATAGTGAGCTTACACATACTGACTGCCTCCTGTAGTCTTTCTATTTCTGTACAGCATCTCTATTTTTCACTGCACTGTAAGAGTCCTATTAAAGGGAAACCAACTTGTTACATTTTAGATTATGCTTCCATGTATACATAATTTATAAACAGACTAATAAATGAGTAACAGATGTTATAAACATATTACTGGCACAACCAGTATATGTTATTGTGGCTTGCGTTGTGGGTTGTAAGTGCACCAGTAGAAGAGACTCCATAGGTCTACGACAACCTATTGACTTCTTGTAGATTGTAACAGTTTATAGCTACTAATAAACCAATTATTAAATAACTTAATTTTAATATTTTAAAAGTATGAACAATAATACTTAGCCATTTGCAGAGGGTTGTCTTTGAAAAGAAAGCAAAAAGCAAACTACTACATTTATGAATTTCCTGCCACGTTTTAAGCCACCAGTTCTGGAGGCTGAAATCTTATATTACATAATCACACAATGGATATAGTGAGGGCAATGCCAACATATTTTCTGAATGCTTTATCGATGGCCTGGAGATGCATATTTAAAATGAGAAATTAATTTTGCTTACCTACTCTTTCCATTCTTATAGCCTAAACTGAGACTACAAGAGCTGCCAAAGAACAAATTTGGAGAGCAAATACGAACAAAAATAAACTCCTCCTCTAACCTCAGAGGAGCTCATAAACTCAGACTTAATGTTCCTTTGAATACCATAAACCCATTCAAATTTTAGCCTGGAATGAAGCTACCTCTAGCATTTCCCATCAGAACAGTTTCTGGACTCTTCATTCATTTAGGAATCGCCCTTTGATCTTTTAGATCCCTAGAAGGGTTAAGGTACTGTGTGGCCCAGTTCAGAAAAACATTCTTTTACGAACTTCAGAATAATTCAATGCTATGTCCACAATGTTTTTTGGACCCTTGCCTTCAGGCAGAGCTCATTGACGCAATTTTTCTTTGCATTAACCTTCAAGTTTAAGTATTTCCCCAAAGCCCAAGCATTATCAGGCCCAACACCTTTCTTTTCAATCTTCCTACTCACCCTTGGGGAAGCTATACACTTAAAATCTGATAGAATCATAAGACTGACAGGATTAAATCATTCCTCCATCCCTTTTTATGAGAGATCTTAAGCACATATTAAACTACAATCAGACGTTTAAGGACCACCGATGACAGTGTTGTAATGAATAAATACTGAAGTATCAGCTTAACTGGTTTCCACAAGTAGGTTGCTCTGTGTCAGGAGACTGTCAGTATTTCCATGCAGGGATTAACATTTCCTAACATCAGCAGAAAACACTGCCGTCCATGTCATGATGAGCTCTGCAGAATGGACCTGCACATCAGTGAACAGATACAGCTATATGCACTTCAGCAGCCACAAACAAGGTACATCTGCCCACAAAGAGATCTGGAAGCTGTAGGCAATCGTCTGTAGATACCAGGTAACTGAGCCAAAAGATGCACAGCCTTGCTAGTGTGGTGCAAAGCGAAGCTGACGATCTGTCTCTCACCAAAAGATATTTACTGGTATTATGAAGCATATTACAACTTTATATGTAGTGTGTTTGGAATACCTTATGAAGTTTAATTCCTCTTCCCAAGCAAGGACCAGATAACACAAAGGAAACTTTTGTTATATCTCCAATATCACCAACAATCAGCTGTCAGAAAAATAAAGAAAAAAAAATTAACTATACGTTGTATATAACAATTTGGATGGCACACTTTAAGCCCAGGTAAAAAGGTAAATAAAATAGGTAAAAATACTAGCCAAGGACATTAATGTTAGGATTAAGACTGCAAGTTAATTTGAACTCACATTTGTACCATAATTTATGTTTAACTGGGAGAATTGGCTGCAGAGCCTAGGCCAACATATGAAAAGCAAGGAAATGCATGACTGATTCTGTATTTCCAAGCCAAATTCCTATTACTATTCTTTTCTCTTCACTTTCCTATTTACCTCCACTTCATCATACCTTTATTCTCAAACTTGAACTGAAATTTTGAACTCAAGACAACTTTTAGCCCTGGCTATTGGTTCTGTTCTAGGTTATTCTAGTGCTCAAAAGAAAAGATGGTTGGTTTCCATAAGTCATATCATACGCTGCTGCTTGTAGCTTTGCATCGTGCAGCAGTTAAGCAAGTGATGTTTATCTTGCCTCTTTGCAAAAGATGGGTAGTGATTTTTTTTCCCATGTTTAAGAATAAAAACCTTCTGAAAGGGGTAGCCCAGGTTCACACACCTGTCCCAGAAGCTGCTGTTAACTTCATGTGCAAACTACAGAACTGATGTTTGCCCAGGCTCATTGTACAGAGACACAGCTTCCAAGTAGTGAAAACACATTAGTTGAGGATTGAGCAGTAGAACATAAAGGAAGTATGGAATAGCTTCATTATTTATTGCCTTACTGTTAAGGCCTACCAGTCTTAATTCAAAGTTCACAAGTCTTTTCATGTCAAAGTTGGCAGTTGCTCAAGGGAGTTTTCATAAGTGATATGTATTCGCCCACATGTGAGAAGTTCTGCAAGTGCTGATTATTTAAGACATGGAGGTATAAACATTAACTCTGACAAACAAAATATCATTCTACACAACTTCACATATGTTGGCCACAACTCTCACTTTACTGAAACTGTCTGGTAAGATCTGCGTGAAATAAAAGAGAAACGGACCAAAAATGGATTATCATTCAGATTCTGAACTTTCTGTTCAGGGGATTTCCCTTTTCTTCCAAATACAGTAACTTGAATATCAGGAACATCTTCTGGTACTTGTGTACAGTGCACCCATGTTTGCCATCGTCCTCTGCTTTTAGTATCAAATTTTTTTGTGAGAAGAGATGCCACAGATGTTTCTGCAATGAAAACAAACATACATTCAGAGCCCATGTCCCACTTATAAGTCAGTATAAGCCAAAAGATACAAGTTTACATTGCCCAGTAGTGCTGGATCTAGCACAGGCAAGTCAGGCAACAAAGCCACAAACCCCTCATTACTCATTTTAGCCCTGTGGAGGTGTAGAAAACCAGGCCAGCTGCTTCAGGAATCCATGTCATGCTTGTGCAGGGGCCATACCTATATCCTCTGTATTCTTCCAAGGACAGGATTTGTGCTGCCAGAGGATCACAGAATCACAGAATCACAGAATGGCAAGGGTTGGAAGGGACCTCGGGAGATCATCTAGTCCAACCCCGCTGCTAAAGCAGGTTCTCCTAGAGCAGGTTGCACAGGACTTTGTCCAGGCGGGCTTTGAATATCTTCAGAGAAGGAGACTCCACAACCCCCTTGGGCAGCCTGTTCCAGTGCTCTGTCACCCTCAGAGTAAAGAAGTTTTTCCTCATATTCAACTGAAACCTCTTATGTTTCAGTTTGTGCCCATTGCCCCTCGTCCTCTCGCTGGGCACCACTGCAAAGAGTCTGGCTCCCTTTCAATACTGCCATTTCCACCTTCTCCATCCCAGGCATAATTTCTTCCTCCTTGTTTACAGAAGGCACGATTCACCTTGGTCCAGGCCCCTGCCCTCACTGTTGGGGTACCAGTTCTGCCTACATTGCAAAGTAGCCTTGTACCAGCTCTGTTCTGCACTGCCATGCAGCAGTGCTTCATGCAAATGAAAGACACTTCTGCTGGTATTACCTTTGAATGGAATTGCCACTTCTACAAAATCTTTCTTGGAGCATTTATTAATCCAGTCATTGTGAACAAAAATATGTGCAGAAAAAGGGTAGAAGACTTCTTTTATAACAATTTTTTCCAAGAACCACTCATCTGATTGAAAATAAACAGAACAATATTAATTTATACCTTTTAAGCAACAAAATGTGTACGCAGACATAAGTTTCTGTCTTTAGAAAACCAATATTTTTTTTTCTTTTGCCAGACTTCTTAAGGAAACAAGACTTCTGAAAATATATTGGCTGTGTGTATGTGTTTCTGTCTGTTCCCCTACACACCAAAAAATTCGACAAACAGAAGTCTGTTTTTACAGATCTTGTGAAATTAAACAAAGGGATAGATTTGATTTAATGATCTATTAGTGTTCCAAAGGATGGAAAGACTTCTGTATGAGATCTCTACACACAAGAAATCCCCCATAGGAAATGATACTATCTATGTCCTAAAGGAAAAAGGATCAGGATTACTACCAGATTAGCCATCAGAAAATCCACTCAACACACAACTTTCTTTCTGGTGAGGTTCTGTGCTATCTAATGAGGCACAAACTTCAGCTATAGGTTTTCTCTCGATTGGGACCATTGTGTTGATTCTCTGGAAACAAAGTATTTGAAGACTCAGACCTCTGCGTCTTGATAAACTTGATTATGCTCCAAGTCTTGGTGAAGTCAATGAAAGCTTGATCATTCATTTTAATGCTAACATCTAGGAAATGTATGGGAAATAGCCTCCAAATCAGTTTTTCTGTGTCTGAGTTTAACCTACAGAGTTATCTGATAGTCTTGGGTTTTGATAAAGATAAAAGAACAAGAGACTCAGTTTATCATGATCTAGAGCAATCATTATCTCCATTATCAACATTATCTGCAGAAGTAGGCTATCTGTAGAATCTCTGTTCTATTGCCTCTAAAAAACAATGGGCCAAAATTGTAGCCAAAGTATTGCAGAAAATATTGATTCATGATGATCCTTGCTGTTGCTATTTATTTTTAAGAAGTTTTCTTTAACTCCAACAGCTGCTGTGGAGTCAGAAGGAGGATGAGAAAAAATGCTGGAGGAAGTGCAGCCTTTTCATCTGCCACTCAACCTCACTTATGCAGAATCCCTTAAAAAAGAATATATTTCTTTAGAAGAAAAAAAGCAATGAGGCCAGAACAGGTTTTCTTCCATGTTCCACTTCCCAGTCTGATGAATTGATTTCCTGTTCTTATCTTTACCTAGAAGCATTTAGTCCTGAAAAAAGATTCTCTTTCAAAATGAAAATGTCCATCATCTAAAAATGGAGAGGAATTAAAAAATGACAAAAATTGCAAAAGCATGATGTCATATTGCTTCCTGAAAAACGAAAGCTTTGTTGACTGTACTCATAAATACATAGTAACTTTTATGGAGAAAATTTTCACATATAATTTTACCGTTTTACATTGTCACATTTTCTAGGAATCCTTTGCACATTTTAGTAAAACCAAGCTTGATACTTGATGCACATAGACCAAAAGAAATAACAAACAGAAGAAAACGGAAAGCAATTTCAAATATTTTAGAACTTTTAAAAAATCACTTGTGATTTTTAATCTTAAATGTAAGACATTTCTGAAGTTCTAGGATCTCCTAAATCTGATCAAATACATTGTTATTACCATGCATTAACTGAAAAGAATACTAACCTTTTTTTAGACTCTTAAATCCAACAAGAACTTGGTTCAATTTGCCAAGGTATACTGCTTTGATTTTGAAAACATCCATCTGCAATATGAAAATAATCAAAATTATATTTTAGTTAACCTTAATATGTATCTGCTTTTGAATATTTATCAGTTTAGCCTTGTGTGTCTGGTCATTGTTTTGTATCTCAATGGAAGCAAATTTATCTTGTTTATGCCATTCCATAATTAAACATTACATGCTGTAACTCGTATTTTCTGATACAGTTAATATTATGAATTATGAATTTCAAAATGCTGCTGTATTTCATAAGAAGTAATTTTGGAAACATCAGATATGTGCACGAGCAATAAAGTGCTCATTTCTAGTACCTTCATGGACTGAAATAGCTAAATTAGGCAAATAGGAATGAATAGTATTTGGGAAGGTTTCAACCACTGCTATTAGGATAAGGATTTTTCATTTAAACCATCTCTATAATGTGTCAAATTTTCCACATACAACAGACTTGCATAGACCTCATGGAATCTTCCCTTTTTTCCCTACTGTAAATCTTAGTAGTATATTCACCTTCCTGCATATATGTTTGTCATTGCAGTCATTTTCCTTCCTAATCAATGGGAAATCTCACGTAAGTATGCACACTAACACTGGGGACACATGTTGCCTAAAGAGCGTACTTGTTGGCTTTTTTGAACTGGGCCTGAGAAACAAGGTTTGGAAACATAATGTTCATGAATGGATTCATTTACTCTTTTGGGAAACCAGCTATAGAACAAAATCTCCATGAGTAAGACTTTTATTTCTTGTGATTTCATGAGCTATCCTGTTGTAGACTGAAGCAGTTGTCTTGGAAAGGTTGGGTTGAGAATGCAATTTGAAGATGAAAGTTGGGGAAAAATTTGGGGGGTTGAAAACAAACAGTAAAAATCTTGTATTGTTCCCATAGCTGCTGCCAAGTACAAAGACATACAAAAATTTGCGCTGCCTGTGAGAACCATACTGATCACAAGAGTCAAGAAGAGTCTAGAAAAAAAAGTGCAACGACTAAGAACAGAGAATTAGGCATTTGAGGGCAAGTTGCAGTAAAGAAAACTGTGAGAGAATGAATACCCAGACACAGCTGTTACTCAAAATCTTTTCTATAAGAGGAAGATTAGGGTGCTATAGCCCAGGATATAGAAAAGCCTTTTAGAGTTTCAGATGAAGGATTTAGCTTCCTGAACAAACCCATTCAAAAACTGACATAGAATCTGGATTATACAGAAAAAATCCTTGTGAATTTACGATGAGTTATATTTCCACTGGAGTCAACTGTATTCACTGATTTCAATTGTATTATTCATATTTTTCTCTAGAAGTTTTATTCCTAAAGAAAATTTAATATACGTTCTTACAAAATAAAGAATAAAAAAAAAGCTCAGTACAGTTCAGTTTTTTGAAAGAAACAGGAATCAGTCCTTTCAATCTGTACTAATACCTTATACACTGTAGCAAGTAGTCTTGCTGTTCAGATTTCTCTAAGTTGTTAGCTTTAAGATATATTGTATATAACTATTATCTATATCACCAAAAAGATTAATCTATAAAATTTCCTACATTGCTCCTTAATGCCAGGTGAGCCCTGCTATCCTGTCATTATTATTTTCAGATTTATTTTGTGAAGTTTCAGCTAGCAGTTTGACCAGTTCTTGATGAACATGACATTGGGCATGCATATTCACTTCCACAATGGAGAAAGAAAATACAGGAATGCAGACAACATAATGACTACCAAAGATTTAGTTTGGTTTTCATACAAAACCCACTGTGTTTTCTAGAATCTTTAGAAGTTAAAAGAAAAGAAGATAAAGTAAACAGAGGCACATTTAAAGAATAAATGAAGCATATTGCAAGCAGCTTTCTCTAGATTTCTACATCAGAGAGCAAACTCATCTGAGGTGGCTGACAACAATGAAATACTCCCTCCTGCCCTCCCCAAAAGAAGATTCCTACATATTGTGCAATGATTTTATGATTCCCTTAAAAGAAAAATTTAAAAATCTTCCAAACCTACACTCAGAGCAAACAGTAGGGTCTAGTAAAGTATCAGCTGGACATTTCCTTTTGATCTGAAATAGATATTTCCTTTTGATCTGAAATTTGTTTTAGTTACTTTGTTCTCTTGCCAATAACTACTCCAAGAATTAATCTTCTAGGAAAAACCCTTTAACCCTCAAAAAGCAGGAATATGTTTACCATGTTTAAAAGCAATACATGGGTGGAAGAATTGGAAACATAAAAAAATAAAACTGTTTGGAACACTGACATTAGCGTTCAGGAAAGTTAACAAGAAGAGGTCATGGTCTAAAGTAGGTACAAAGGCAAGATATCCAGCAGAAATGTTATCAGTTCTATCAGTCAGGCATGTTTTAACAAAGCACTGGTACCTCCCCATCCTTAGAAGTCTGCAATATTAAAATAGAACTTTTATAGTATTTTTAGTCCGACTCAAAATTACTCATCAACTTTGTGAAATGGTTTTCACTGTTGTGCAATGCTGATGATGCTTAAAAGCAAAGTTACCTATAGAGATAATCTCCTGTTACAAGAGAAAATTATGTCTATACGGAATATAAAACATTAGTATTTTTTTATACTCTGTCTGTGAAAAGTTTTATGTAAACATAAGCATTAACAAAAAGACACTCACAGATTCAGTTACATTTTTCCTCATTGTTTTACCTGCCCGCTAGCAAAAGTGATCAGGCTGGTTCTCGAGTTAAGCCATCGTCTCCCCGAGTCAC